ATGAGGAACATTTGGGGCATCTTTGGAGATTCAACATCAAATATTGGGTTATTTTTGGATATTGGGGCATCATTTGTGGATTCAACATCTTAATGCAAATTATCAGACCTTTTTTAGGAGATAAAATATAACCAATTCATGTTACATGCATCTTATGTATACATTTTAGAGCATCATATTTATCATTTTCCACATACGTAATTTTTTGCAGCTTTTCAAGTTTCAACTTCAAGACGAAGGATACTCGATTCAAAAACACCTTTAAAGATTCATGTTGGTTGCTTAACTCAGCAGCAAGAAGCTATACTTCGACCAACTCGCCAGATTGAAAGTTTCTCTCGAAACAACACAATTTGCTCGAGAGTAGATTTCAACTTCACGACGAAGGATATCTAGCTCGAAGCCAAACTTCACAATAAAGGGGTCTTCACGGTTTCAACTTCACGGCGAAGGGAATTGTGTCCACCCGCAACATACAATACTTGGATTTCAACTTCACGACAAAGGATATTCAAGTCAAGGCTCAACTTTACAACGAAGTGGCTATCCACGATTTCAACTCCACGACGGAGGATATCGTGCCACTCGAGACAACACAAGTTCAACTTCACAACGAAGGGACGGCTGGTTGTCAACAAACAACTTCCCAAATTCAGAGCCAATTTCAACTTCACAGCGAAGGATATTGGACTCCAGACAACACAAGTTCAACTTCACGACGAAGGGACCGCTGGTTGTCAACAAACAACTTCTCAATTTCAGATCCAATTTCAACTTCACAACGAAGGATATTGGACTCCAGACAACGCAAGTTCAACTTCACGACGAAGGGACCGCTGGTTGTCAATAAACAATTTCCCAATTTTAGAGCCAATTTCAACTTCACAGTGAAGGATATTGGACTCAAGACAACGCAAGTTCAACTTCATGACGAAGGGACCGCTGGTTGTCAATAAACAACTTTCCAATTTCAGAGCCAATTTCAACTTCACAGCGAAGGATATTGCACTCCAGACAACGCAAGTTCAACTTCACGACGAAGGGACCGCTGGTTGTCAACAAACAACTTCTCAATTTCAGAGCCAATTTCAACTTCACAACGAAGGATATTGGACTCCAGACAACGTAAGTTCAACTTCACGACGAAGGGACCGCTGGTTGTCAACAAACAACTTCCCAATTTCAGAGCCAATTTCAACTTCACAGCGAAGGATATTAGACTCGATACAACGCAAGTTCAACTTCACGACGAAGGGACCGCTGGTTGTCAACAAACAATTTCCCAATTTCGGAGCCGATTTCAACTTCACAGCGAAAGATATTGGACTCCAGACAACGCAAGTTCAACTTCACGACGAAGGGACCGCTGGTTGTCAACAAATAATTTCCCAATTTCGGAGCCAATTTCAACTTCATAGCGAAGGATATTGGACTCCAGACAACGCAAATTCAACTTCACGACGAAGGGACCGCTGGTTATCAACAAACAACTTCTCAATTTCAGAGCCAATTTCAACTTCACAACAAAGGATATTGGACTCCAGACAACGCAAGTTCAACTTCACGACGACCGCTGGTTGTCAACAAACAACTTCCCAATTTCAGAGCCAATTTCAACTTCACAGCGAAGGATATTGGACTAGAGACAACGCAAGTTCAACTTCACGATGAAGGGACCGCTGGTTGTCAACAAATAATTTCTCAATTTCGGAGCCAATTTCAACTTCACAACAAAGGATATTGGACTCGAGACAACACAAGTTCAACTTCGCAACGAAGGGACGGCTGGTTGTCATCAAACAATTCCCAATTCCAGAGCCAATTTCAACTTCACGACGGAGGATATTGGACTCGGAACAATGGTACTTACTTGGATTTCAACTTCACGACGAAGGATATCCAATTCCAATCTCAACTTCACAACGAAGGGGCCACCCGCGGTTTCAACTTCACGACGAAGGGAATCATGCACACGAGCATCATCCATCTTTAGATTGGATTTCAACTTCACGACGAGGGATATCCAACTCAAAGAAGGATTATCTGTCAACAAAGACCTTCGAGTTCGATTACGCTCAGCTCCAAGGCACATAATTTACAACATAACTCAAGGCTAGAAGGGTTATCTGCCATCAAAATTGTCGAGTTCGATTCCATTCAGCTCGATGACACATCAATCGCACTACTTTCCGGTTGCAGTCGAGGTTTTCAAGTCGAGAAGAGGACCTGGGTTAGCCGTGCCTGAGTGACAAGCAACCATTTTCAAGCAGCATAGCTTAAGTCAAGAAAAAACTATCTGTCAATGAAGATTTTTGAGTTCGATTCCGATCCAAGGTCTTTAAACCGAGAAGAAGGCCGAAGGGCAACGGGAAGCCACGTGCTGATTCAAATTCCGAACTATGGCTTCAATTTTATATCATTTCAAGATGAACTCGACTTCACGATGGAGGAGTCATCCGTAACTCAATTCGATAGGGAGTTACTGAAACATCAGAGTCAATTTTCAACTCCACTGAACGAAAAGTGTGTCTTTTAATCTTTGCCCTATCCCCGTTACACGACTATGAGCAAAGAGGGGCAGCTGTCAATACACATTTTCGTCATACTAGGATTCAAACTCCTAAAAATAGGATAGAATTTTGCTAGGATTCAAACTCCTAAAAATAGGATAGAGTTCTACTATTATTTAAACTCCTAAAGATAGGATCCACAAGCATTATAAATAGTCATTGTAACTCACTATTGTAACACATTCGGAAGAGGATATACAAAATACCAAGCAAAAAATTACAAGCAACTCGTAGCCATTTTTCGAAGCATTTATATTTTGAAAGGTAAAGTTCATACCTTCGCATGTTATTTTTCCTTACCCTTGTTATGTTTTGATTTGAAAGAAAACTGAGAGAAGTGTTTTTGGCCGATGAACGGGGGCGTTTTCGAGATCTATTTTTGTAGATCTAGTCCCTGAGGCTTTTATTTTTGAAAAACTATTCGGATTTTTATAAACGGGTCATGTGGATCCGCGTGTTTTGTCGTTTTTTTCTTCGATTGACTTTTAATTTTGACCCCTAATTCATTTTTTATTTTAATTTAGCCCTTATTATTTATATGTATATATATATATATTTAATTATATTTTATTTATTTATTTATTGTAATTTTTTTTCATTTTTCTTTGCGTTATATTATATTATTTTCCTATTATTATATATATATATATATATATATATATATTATTATTTTTTATTTATGTTTACTTATTTACTATATTTTTTTACTATATTTTCCTAACATTATATATATATATATATTCTTACTTCATTTTATTTTATATTTCTATTATTACTATTTAGTATTTTATTATATTATACATACATTTTTATATTTTTATATATATATTTTTTATTATTTTATTTATATTTTTTATTTATTTTCATTATATTTTTAGTTTCTTTGCTCTTATTATTATTTTTCTTTTTTTTTTTTAAACACTTTACCTTTTTTTATTCTTTTTGTATATATATTTTATCTTCATTTATTTTATTTTATTCAATTTCATTTTTTTTTCATCCAATTATTTTATGTTTATTATTATTGGTTTCATTTATTTCCTTGGTTTACTCTTTAGTTTTGTTACTTTCTTTTATTATTATTATTTTCTTTTAAAATCTTATTTTTTAAGGGTATTTTTGTAAACTCATTAAGGGTAAGTAATTCGGATCAAATTTTACCTTTTAATTTAACTTGCAATTTTCTTAATCAAAGACAACTGGAAATTACGTAGTACCGAAAGGACGGTTCAAGGGTGCTAATCCTTCCTTGACCGTAACCGACTCCCGAACCCGACACATCTTTGGTAAGACGCAGATCAGGTAAGAAATAGGGTATCCGATCAACCCATTTATTCGTAAAGTAAATGATCAGTGGCGACTCCCAATCCACATTTTTCAAGTCGAAACCCAATCCCGGGGCACAACTGAAAGACGATTGCGACATATATCTCACGCACGACTCGTTATTGCATTCGTAATGAGCATTATCAATAAGTTTATACATGCACCAAGGGAGAATCGCTTAAAGGTTGCCTACAAAGTATTATGGTATTTGAAAGGGACTCTAGGCAAGGGCCTACACTTCAAGAAAACAGAGAGTAAATGTTGGAAATTTATACTGACACAAATTGGGTTGGTTCAGTGAGTGACAAATAATCTACAAGTGGCTATTGTAACTATGTATGGGGTAACCTTATGACATGGAGGAGTAAAAAGCAGTCAGTTGTAGCTCGTATTAGCGTCGAGGCTGAGTTTCGAGCATTGCCCATGGTATATGTGAGGGAATTTGGTTACAACGATTAATGGAGGAAATCGAGTACCTAATGAACCATCGATGCAGATGTACTACGACAACCAGGCAACAGTTACTATAGCCCACAATCTTGTTCACCACGACCGCACCAAACACGTGGACATTGATCACCACTTCATCAAGGACAAGGTCGACTCAGGGGACGTGTGCATAACTTACTTGCCCACAAAGCAACAAGTCACAGAACTGTTGACTAAAGAGCCTTAGAAAAACTTTATTTGAAGAACTTAGTGGCAAACTGGGTTTGATCAATATTTACACGCCAACTTGAGGGGGAATGTTGGAATTCTGTATATATTTAGTAAATAATGTAAATTAGTCAATGTAATCTAATCCCTAATTTCTAGGAGTTAACAGAGTGAATAGAATTTTTCCCATCTCAATTTTGTTCAACAAGTATGTAGATTTTTACCAAGTTCATAAAGAGATTAAGAATGGGAATTGGAAAAGAAAATGTAAATAAACATCTAAAGGATTATCTATTTCGAAGCATGAATTATTGGCGAGTTAGCAGTCGCCAAACAGTTCAACAAGTATTCAAACTCAAAAGAAACAAATCAACAAAATGTTACAACAAATATCAACAAGATATGCCACTACGAGAGAACCAACTTAAAGCTTACACTTTTGATGATGATTTGGTTCACGTTGATTGCATGAATCACTCACGGAAGTCGACTTTTGCTCAGGATGTTGATTAACCTGTTTCCCTAGATCATCAACCTTTTTGTTTAAATTGATTATGTCTGCCTCTGATTGAGCTATGTCCTTGAGATCTACCTTTGTCTTTATTACATCTTAAAGTTAAAAAAGCTTGATGCAAATAAAGATTAGGTACACTAATTAAATCTTACGAAGGCCATGGGCTACCTTTTCGTCAAGCTTAGCTGGGAGAGATTTGGGTCCTTGAGACGGGTTAAGTCCTGCTTCCAGAGCTATCCTCTTTTCCCTTGCCCTTTGAAGCTCTTCCTCAAATCTTGCAACCTATAAGTACACCCAGTAGCAGCAATCAGAACAGGGCCATGCACATATAATCAGTATAGCAATCGTGATAAAATAAATAAATCCATTAGCTTTGTGTAACTAACTAATGAGTAATTACTAAATGCAAATGAAAATATTAAATTCCATACATTACCAAAACAAAACAAACGTACTTCCAGTAAGTATATAATTGTTCATCCTAGATGTATTTTCATGCATATACTCATTGCTGATATCTTTGTCACTACAGATATGCAACCTAACATAATGCATGAAACATGAAAGACGGCACAGAAGAAATAAAATAAAAAATAAAAAAAATCTCCTGATAAACATACCTCTTTCTGAAGAGCTAGCCGTTGCTCATGCAATGCCTTCTTTCGTTTTTCCAAGCTGGCTTCAAGAATGGTATTACCTTCAATCTACATTAGAAAGCTGACTTAAGTATGAAAAGTTCAAAAAACATGTTACAAAAACAATAACTAGAAAGGGTGGGTAAAGCATAACCTCTTTTGTGAGTCTCTTTTGCAAGTCCCATTTTTCAGCCTCAAGTGACTCAACTGCAACCCTAAAATTGAGTCAAAATCAGGTAAGTACAACAGAAAATAGAGATATTATTAACAATATACAAGGTTTCAGCTCTACATTATTTTTTGCTTTTCCACTTTTGTCTAGAAAAATTAGTCATGCAAAGGGTAAATTGCTTCACCCTAAGCGTGAAAGAAGATTATAGAAGTAGTAACCAGGAAAATAAGTAGTAGCGGGCAAATTTATAAAAGGTTCTTTTTTATTCTGCAGATCACGGGAACATCACTTACTCTTCCTCACATGGAAGATCAGGACAATCCACAGATAGTTTCTTGCTTCCCTGTAAAAGCAAACACGATAATCATATTTACATTTCTTTCTTCCCTGCAAACGCAAACTCGATAATCATATTAACACATTGCAATTATAATTTAAAATACTCATTAGCTAACAGAAAAACTAACTAGACCAAAAGCAAAACACATCATGAATGCAGAAAACGAAAACTTACACTACTCCTTCCCCAAAAAGCATGCCTGACATTGTGACCAGGTCCGTTTCCAACAGCAGGGGGTTTTGCGGCACTTGAGACTGGACTACGAGTTGATGCATCCTCCAACTTGGTTACTCCATGAACTCCTTTTGACAGCTCAGCAGATTTATTGGTCTCAGTTGTTGAACTTTTAATTCTCCGGTTATCCTCGTTCTTTTTTGAATTATCATTTACATTAAGTGAACTTGAAACTTTTTTGGTGGCTTTGACATCACCACTATTTTTGGAGGACTCAGAACTAGAGCTCGAAGATTCAGAATCCTGCAATTTTATTTTCAATCCAGGTAAGTATTGTGTCTCTTTCTATTACTGGTCTATTGCTTCTTCACCTTTTATAAGTTAAAAACGGAAATAATACTCAAAATCTGAACTGAGGGGCTACAGAAAGTAAGAATACAGCTATATGTTACAAACAAAAAATAGCAAAGAGAAAAACATCAAGATTCCTATAAGGGGTAAAGATGGAAAACTATATGCATCTGACTCTGATATAAGGTGCTGCAAAGTTAATATAGAATATATTCTGATAGCGGTAAATCAAGTTCATATAGTGAGCATAAATTCAAAGGGGAAAGCAAAGACATCGAAACAATCAAACAATAGAAACCTTTAGTCGCCAGATGGTGACAAATGAAGCAGATACACAAGCTACAAAATCATTAAAAAGAGTAAAATGAGTATATAAATCTGGTTACCTAAACAGAGGTAACTGTCTAAATTAGATTTTCTGAAGAGAAAGCTTTAATAGTCCAGGAGTTTGGATCAAGTTTGTGACTGCCATCATTTTTAAAGTAGATGAACAAGATATAAAACAAAAATGTCAGTGTAAGAAAGCAGAGGAACAAACCTTATCATCACCACTTTTAACAGATTGACCACTCTCACTGCCTGTTCCACTTTCAGCAGAGTCGTTATCATCTTCAGACCCTTGTGATTCGTCCTCACATTCATCATCTTCATAGGACTCATCTTCGTCAGCTTCTTCCTCACTTTCACTTCCACTCTCATCTGAGTCAGAGTACAAATCAGGGGAAACACAACCTTCCTGCCAACAAAATGCTGAGCTCATAACTGCAATGTAAAAAAAATTCAAACCAAAGTAATAACAAATTGGAATATGGAACGCGAACATCCAAATTACTATTTTTTTTAAATAATACTAATACCATACAAGAAATAGAAATATTACTATATTATAAGGAAAGAATGTGGGAAGGATATAATAAACTCAGCTTAACTGTATTCAAATTCCACCATTAGACAGTCATAATCCAATCACTTTAGATCTGTACTACCAACAATAGTGCATACATCCAGGACAACACGAACAATTTTGACTTAATGATCACGCATGCTCAAAATGTACAAAGAAATAAAACATATCGATTCTGAACTAAAGAAAAGTCCTTACAACTCAGAATTATTGCATATATACTTGCATGTATAGTGACTACAGAAAACAATATTAGAAGCAGTTGTGCAATGATGACAATAATTTCAGCTTACCCCAAATATTTTATCATACTGTTCCAGTAATGTTATAACAATGGCTTGAGCATGATTGGCTGCAGCAGCAGCTTGCAGCAGTTGCATTGAACCATCACCTCCCACATCAAAATCATTTTCAATATCACATTCACCAGATAGAAGAGGACGAAGAAGTAAGGGCGCCATGCAGGCTGCCACAGCTGAAGAGCTCATTCGATTTTCATTTTTGTGAGAAGCTGTAGTTTGCATCATCATTAGAATTCTGAAAGAGAGGATTAAGAAAAGATAAATATGGATAAGGTGGTCAGTAGCTGAGATAGCAAAAAAGAAAGAAAGATGATATCTTTATTTTGGAAATAAGATCGAACGTAGTTTTTTTTTATTATTGTATCCCAAAAATGCAATTTCAATGCATTTCCCTCATAATTTTCAAAAATAAAACTTAAATGCTGAAAACTAACAGAGACGTAAGAGATGTATTCTGCTTAAGGGTACAAGAAGCTCTGGTGTGCTAGGCTTATTGATTGTACTTTCTATATTTATGCCTTCTGCAAGATATTATATCCAATCTCACACTCACTCATTTAGCAAGGACCAATACATATATCTGAGGGTTACACACCATAAAATTTCTTGAACCAACAAGAAGTTGTGGATAATCAACCAATTTAAAATAAGATTCACTCATCCAAACAATTTAGAGAACTTTTTTTTCTCAAAAGGTAGAATGAGCAATTACAAGGAAAGGAGAAGAATTTGACAACCGGCCTTTTTTCCTGAGCTAAAACAAATATTGTAAGTGAAAATCGTCTAGAACCCCAATAAGAAACAATATAAACTAAACTCGATTATGACTTTAAAAATGAATCTAATTAACCAAATTCCAACGTAGAAAAACATTTGCTTATGCCTAACATCTATATATACTCTGTACAGAAATGGCTTAAACAAGTGTGAAACTTCTGGCCTATACAGTCATTGCACTTATCTTTCTATGTGTATTTTTATTCACGGGTTATCTTTAATGCAGTTTCCTAATTTTATACATGCATGGACTGTTAACTGTACATAATCTTGATTTTCGTTCTTTCGCTTATCTTCCGCTAATAGTTTGTTATTAATAATTGTACTGCATAGGAAAGACAACGTCAATTGCATATCATTTAAATCCATAATATAAATATGCTTATTTTAACGCCCATATGCAGTAACAGCTCTCTTTTAAATATCATCTACAATGCTGAGGAAATAAATGCAAAAAATGCATACTGAATATCATTTGTACTGAGAAAAGCGTTATAATTAAAAGGGAAAGAACTGACAGTTATGAATTGTCTACCTCTGTAATAAGCGACGATTTGGCTCAGGAAACGTGTCCAATACTGCCGTACGCATAGCATTGACTCTAGCATTGTGCTCGGTTCCTAATCATTGGATGATGTCCAATAACAGAATAACAAAACTCAATCTTCAAAAATAATAACAGCTGGTAATATATCATAAAAATGAAACGGTATAAAGCTCAAAAATATGCAACCAGACAATTTCCACTTCATTCCTTAGGAATCCAACCAATTGAGAATACAAGAACTTCACCCAATAAGGATTGTCCAACATATAATTACCTTCAAAATTAGAGGCATCAAGGACCAATAGTGGCAAAGCATATTATGACCTCAACTTATTACATATTAAGACCAAAAAAAAAAAAAAACAAAAACCAGTTCAGAATACAACTTACTGCATGCTTCTAGTAGTGCGTTGCAGCATGATGCAGGGACAGGAGAAGATGGCAACTCCCGAATTACATACTGGAAAATGGAATGAAGCAAATTAAACAACAAAACACCAGAAGAATATGATTCAACTTAAATGAAAAAATCGTGTGGAGTCTAGTAAGACATACCTTGACACAGTCAGCAATGACATGTGCATCCTCGTCTTGAGAGAACTCGGTTTTTCCTGCAAAAAATAAAAAAAATAAAAAGCATCACGTGGAAAAGGATTTGAAGATTGAACAGAAAGCATTGTGCTGTAGAACTACAAGCATACAAAGTAGCCTGGCTTCTTGTTCTGTCCCATACAATAAGAACGAAAATTTTCAATAAGAAAGAAAATTTCCATACATGAATACTGATTCAAATTTAAGTTCTTACAAAGTTACCTTTGATAGCATTGTTTACAGCCAAAAATTAAATATTAAATGAATATAACCAACGTTTAAGAAAAGAACACAACCTACAGTAGCTGAAAGCAATGTTTAAAAAATAAAAAGAAAAAATTGAATATAGTCAAGGGCAGTGTGTATTGAACAAACCCTGTTCATATTCCCAAATTCTGCGCTCAACATCCTCAACATCTGCAGCCTGCCTCAAGATCCCTTCTACTTTGACTCCTGTAAAATTATTTGAACACGACTAAAAGGATCTCAATGAAAATCAATAAAAGTGCTTCGCCATTTAACTTAAATCACTGAAATTAGCATCACACACACAGCTTCTGAGGCCACTAAATTTGTGAACAATGTGGAAAATTCTTGAAACAAAGATAAAGAAAATGAGTCACGAGCAGTGGTTAGCCATGCTGGAATCTTATCCAGAAAAATGGATATCTCGAGAAAGGTATTTGAAAAAAACAGACATGCCATGTATATTTACTAGACTACATTCATTAGAGACAAAAAAAAAAAATTAGCTGACCCTATTCCCATATGTAATGGGGTGAGGGGAGGTAAGGTAGTAGGCTGCCCCCAACGCCAGGTTGAGAACAGCTTCCGTGGAAGACCTCCGGCAGTTAGAATTATGAATTGCCCACCGGCATTAGAGACAGTTATCCGGTTTATGGATTTAGAACTTTACCATATACTTAAATGAGGTGGCCACAATTAAAAAAGATAACAGCTCACCATATTCTTCTACAAATCTTAGGGCCTTCTCCAAAAAAGTTGGAGCCCCATCAACATCTTCCAGTGCAAGTAAAATTGGTCTGTGTAAGACTGTAGATCTCACAGGCTGTTTATCATTCGCTAACAAAGAAAAAGAGAAGAGCATCAATATCTCGAATGAGAGGAAAAATAAATCAAAACAACCAAACAAATTAGAACCTAGAAAAAAACTTGATAGGCTTGTAAAGAAACATGACAACATGAAAAGATGCAGTAAAACTAGAAAAAAGGAGGGTATATACGAAAAAAGGTAACTCCCAGCCAAGGCTCCCGGTCAGTAGTGACATGCTAAAACTTTTTCAATAATAAACTTTTATCATGCAATATTTCAGTTGTTTACATTAGGAGCTAGTTATGAATGGAGCTTCGTACAGATGTCATTCAAAGTTATACAATTTTTTTTTAAAAATGGAGCCGCATGAAACTTACTTGGTTCCTTAGAAGCATCAATTGCATCTGCCTGATCATTCCCGAGGGCGCCATTTTGTCCCCCAGAACTTGGTGCTTGTGACAAAGCTTTCTCAAGTGCAGCCTTCCACTCGTACAAGTCCTCCGAAGTTTCAGACTTCAACAACAACAAAAGGAACCGTCATGTCATATGATTTCCCAAAATCTCACTGTTATATTCATTAGATTCAGCATTGAATTTTCCAATAATATCAGACACGTAATAAGTGTGTCTCAGCCTTCAAAATCAGTCACCTGGCAAAGCCAGTTCTTAATAACGGGTTTCAGAGGATAAAAGAATGCTATCTGCAGGGTATGGAGTGAACTTGTATAAAATTTATATACCGAAGATGAAATTTTCCTGTTCTGGGCATTCTCTTTACACGGAGGTGTTGGTCACTCAAAACCAAGCTTACACTTTTCAGCATTCATTAAACCGCAGCTTTGGTTAGATTCATTTGAACATCTTTAGGTACAAGGAAGATCTTTCACTCTTACGGCAGAATCTTGATATATGCGGTTCAGATAGAAAGATCACAACTATTTATCAAGCAAAGAAAATGTAAACCAAAGGGCAGTGAATCTGAAAATCTGAACAGTTTTTTGAGGAAAGTGTGAAACGAAATGGTTAAAAAAGGTAATCAGAGAAATTATAAACGAAGAATGGATGAACAACCTTGAGTGTGAAGGTTCGTCCATCGCAGCCATCTTGAAATAGTACGGTAATAAGTTTTTTATCAGCTTTGAGAACCACACTAGAAATTTTGAAAGGTACCACGAGTTAGTAAACATTTCCACTTTAACGACATTCACAATTTGAAGAAGAAATCACAAATTATCTTTTCAGAAATGCAAGCCAACCTGCCTGAATTGTTGAGATCAATACCGCCAAGAGTTAAATTTACTTCATTCCCTTTCTGAGAACTGGCATTCTGAAAAGTTAACAAGAGTATATTAATCTTCTAAAATCTTATCCAAAATGCAGCGAGAGAGGAAAATAGATTATTGCACGGAATGTAGAGAGAAGAGAACAACATAATAGTAGGATAATAACATCCAGCCAATAAATATCAACGCATCTAGAAAAAATACAGCTTTTCTTTTTTCGCACAACGACGAAGAACCAAAGAAATGATATATTGAACTAAAGAACCTTAATTGTCAAATTATTTTTTTAATTAATATGGGGGTAAGTTTAAGAAGTATATGTTCAAAGATCTCTCAAACTTTTGATATTGAAAGTTTATATCTTTGACATTCATAATGTTCTAATCCGAAACCTCAAAAAATAACTATAATTCCTTTACTAATGATGTGACTGGGATTCATGCTTAATTGTCAAATTAAATTGTTTGATAACAATCATTTCTACCATGCTAAACACGTACGTCCGTACAAATTACTAATGGGTCACTTAAACTAGCATTTAATTATTCTCGTTAGGTAAATTTCATGGATTTAGAGCCACCTTAGTAACTTAATTTTAGGACCTGCTGTGTGAAATAGACACGAGAGTATGATTTCCATTTATCTTTTCGATCGAGATACATTCTAGCAACTAATAGTCATTTACAGACTCAGATTGATTGAACCATATGCTTCTGATTGAGAGAGAAATAGAGCACACACAAGATAATCATAGCAAATTATTATCATTTCAATTTCATCTTTTCGGTTCAGATATATTCTAGCCACTAATAGTCATTCTCAGGAGACGAAATAAAACTCAAGAACCTTATGCTTCTGATTGAGAGAAAACTAGACCACAAAAAAGATAATCGTAGCAGGTTAGTATCATTCCCAGGGATCCTAAAGCCTGTTATAGTCTGAAGAACAGTGCATCATTTGACCTTTACTGTTTACCAAGAAAAAAAAAGCAATAGATGATGTGAAAAACAGGTAAGCAAATATCAATGTTGAGACTGACAATCTGCTAGACTGCAAAAACTTACAGGATCACTTCTGAAGAAAACCAGCGAAGTATGTGTCAAAATGAACCACCTTTTCTTCCATGATGTCCATCCAATTCCTTTAATCAAATAAAAATAAGGGAAAAAGGAAAGACAATAACCGATAGGAATTCAAGCCATTATCATGGGACTGTGACCTCATAATGCACATTTTTCTAGTAAATATAAGTAAAAGTAGCGCTTCACAAAACGTAAGGTGAAAGATAAATTATTAACTAAATTAAATTAAAAAAACAAAGTATACAAACCTTTTGATGATATAAAAAGTGGCCCACTCTTTAAAACCTGCGAGAAAGTTTCAAACCTTGAAATGCACTAACTTTTACAATTTTGAAAAATGCATGCTTAAGAAACTCTTGAATACGGACGATGTAAGAAAAGAACTTAGGAAGGTAAACAATCTAGTAATGCACTTAAAATACAGGACGCGTTCTTTCTCTTGCATCAAAATTCCTCATTCTCACTTATGCTTAATTTTGTTGGGAAAAGGACTACAATAAGCATGACAACATCAAAAGAGAATAACTGCCATATAGGCAATTCTTCCATGAAATGGTTCATATGGCTCAAGCACATTAGATATAGATAAAGTAATAATCAAAATAAATAAATAAGATACATAGACGAGTAATAGACATATGGTTATAAGCACAATCTTGATGATGACGAAGATGATCGCATGGTAATATAGGGAATTATGGTCACGTGCAACTTTCAATCAACAATCAAACCCGGCATAGTAAACAACTCACCACGGGGGGAGAGCTTGTAGAGTTGCCACCACTAGAATTCAGATTCTCCGATGGTCCTGTTGCACTGGCTGGACCTGGAGAAGCGGCAGCAGTTGCTGCATCTCCCTTGAGGGAAAACAAAATTGATTTTCAGCACGAAATTTCCACACACGAAATTATACCCGCACGATCAGAGCTTTCACTCCAAAATATTTCCATCAAAACAATAATGTGAAGGGGAAAAAATGTGTACCGATTGTGCTTGAGGCGACTCTTCCTTTTTTCCAGTCATTTTCTAGTTATGAAAATAAAAAATAACCTGAAGTCTCTGTTAAATAACAATTTTTTTCTGAGTGCCAAAATCTAGAGAAAAAAAATTATCATACCTGTTGAGCTTGAGATGGCTCTTCTATTTTCTGATAAAAATAAATTTAAAAAAAACAAAACAAAGAATTACTGAAAAATCTCCGTTAAACCACAATTAAAAACTAATTAAAAACTAACAGAATGGATGGAATAAAAAAGGAAAAAATGTATATTGATCAAAACCAGTCGTGCATGAGACAACTCTTCCTTTTTGCCAGCCATTTTCTGATCAGCAAAATAAAAACATTAACGTAAAAATCTGTGAAATTACGATATATTTTTCCAACAGAAAATTAAAGAAGAAAAAAAATAAAAAAAAATAAAAAAATATTGATCAAAACTTATTGTGCTTGAGAAAGCTCTTCCTTTTTGGCGGACATTTTCTAATGAAGAAAATAAAAAGGAATTAACATAAAATCTACCTTAAATCAAATTTTAGATCTTAGTTCGTCGACTTCTTCAATAAAATTTTAGATCTTAAAATGAATAGAAAACTAACAGAAGAAAATACAAAGCACATCAAAACTTGTGCTTAACACAGTTTTTCCTTTCTGCTAGGCATTTTCTGATCAAGAAAATATAAAAGAAATAAAATAAAATCTCCACTAAAACAATGTGTAGTTCTTTTTCTTCCTTTCTTGTTTCTGAAAGCCAAATTTTTCTAAACGACAATAAAAAGAAAGAAAAAGAAAAATATATGTATCAAAACCAGTTTCTGAGCAACAAAATCTTCTGAAAATGATTAGACAGTAGCAGGAAAATGAAAATAAAGAGATCGACCAAAACCTGTTGTTGTGCATGAGGCGACTCTTCCTTTTTACCAACCATTTTCTGATAAAGAAAAATTATCAATTAACATAAAATCTCCGTTAATCGCAATGTAGTCTTTTTATACATATTTTGTTTCTGAACATTAAATTCTTCTAAAATCAAATAGAAGAGTATCAGTAGGATAAAAAAGAAAATCAAACCAGTTGTAATTTAGACAGATCTTCCTTTCTGGTAGATATTTTCTGAAAATGAAAGAAAAACGAAGAAAAATCTCCGTTAAAAACACAAAATGTTGCTCTGTCTTTTCTGCTTCTCAATACCGAACATCAAAGCCTTCTCTACAAATGAGTTAGAAATTCAACTAAAAACGAAGAGAGATCAATGAAAACCTGCTGTATCAAATTAAATGCCAATTCATCCTTTTTGGTAGCCATAATAATCCTCTGATCTCTCGGAATTTAGAAAAAAATCACATCCTAAACAGGTCACAAAATCAAACGAACAACACCGACCTTGCGAACATCAATCTCAGTAATGCCGCACATTCACAATGCTTAAACGCATAAATTCAAACCGAAAGAACCCTACGGGAAAAATGGGGGGAAATGTAGAAGAAAAGAGGGGAAAAGCGACAAGGAAGAAGCTTAAATGTGAGAAGAGGAAGAGACTTTTTCTCCTTTGGTTGGGAATTCTTTGAGCTCAACGGAAACCCCGTATTGGTCAAAGCAAAGGAAAGGCCTAAAAGCCCTCCCCCCGAAACCGAAGGGAGCCGTTGCATTGTACACGTTATTTCTACTACTATTTATTTTCTTTTGGAGGGAACTGACAGTAGCGGCAATTATTTGCCTTCTTTAACCGCCTTGCCACCACGTGATTTCAAGATTTTTCGGAATCGATCACGGTTGCTGTGGTCTGATCCTGTGGGAGTGTGGGGTCATTGGATTATGTCGGGGCTTGCTCGATCCATCTGATCGAGTTAAAAACAAAAAGTACAATTCGCATTATGGGCATGAAAGATCAGTCGTTACTGACTAAACCTAACTTTTAGTACTCTTTTTATCTCAATTTTTTATGTTGGCTTTTTGCAAATTAAAAACAAGCGTCGATAGTGAAAATATAATAGTAAAAAGTACTTTTTAATCAATCAATTTTTTTAAATAATAAATATTTTGATTTCAATGTTTTTTTAATAAAATAACTTTAATTTGATAAAAATCGTTAGTTAATTAATAATCAATACTAATCATTGATGTGATAAATCTTATGTGTTAAAAATGCTAACATTGCATGTATTATATCATTACTTATGTAAATGTATGTAACCTGTGATACATCATCACTTTTTTATATATATATATATGTTTTTTTCATTTGACATACCATCACTTTATGATGGTACATATTGTATATGCTACGTTAATACTTATGTACAAGTGATGTGTTATAACTTTGGACATATAGAACTTGTCACATTAGTGACAAACGTTGATATTTAGTCATCTAATAATTTTCATCTGATCAATTATCATTTTGTCTCAAAATGAAACGTTGAGATTAAAGTACTCAAAAATTGATAAAACAAAATAATTATTCAATCAAATGCTAAAGATATTTTTTTATCTAACAAAAAATAATTTTATACTCAATATTAAATAATTTAATATAAATCCATCTTAGGAGGTGAAAGAAATAAAGAAATGCTACTAACAACAATTGCCTAGGTTTTAATGTTCCTATTAGATTTTATCTTTGCACTTTAGGTACATAGAACATGTTACATCAGCGATAATTATTAACTGTTATTTGATTAGAAGTTTTCATAAAGTTAGAAATTATTTTATCTCAAAACATAATATTGAAATCTAAAATACTAATATATATATATATATATTCAATAGATTTATCTTTTTGACATTAAACTTTAATAAAAAGATTTTATCCTCGATTTTAAACAATTTAATAGAACCCCATTTTAAGAAATAATAAAATAAGAGAAAATAACATCACTGACCAAAAATGCTTTATAATATACGATTTTAACAAATTTTTTTTGGATTTGTCAAAATGACCAACTAAATCGCAACGCGATCTCCGGTATCGTAAATCAGTTTCCAAATTCGCAACGCGAACATCGACTATCGCAATGCGATAGTCCAAGTTTGCGTTGCGATTTATTCCAAGTTCGTTGCGATAGTCGAAGTTCGCGTTGCGATTTATTCCAATTTCGTTGCGATAGTCGAAGTTCGCGTTGCGATAGTCCAAAATCGCAACGACTGGTGGTATTGCATTTGTTTCTTAAGAATTTTCTCTAAAAAGATAGTATTCGCGCGGACGTGTCGAAGACACGTATTACCACGACCCGACCCGACCCGACCCGACCAGAGACGAGACGAGACGGACGGCGGCGGCGGCGCACGAGAGTCTCCCTTATTCTCTATTACTCAACAAGGAAGTGAGAAAGCCAAGCCTTAAATACCATTCCCAATAGTGTTTCCAATACTATGTGGGATTGAGCATTACCAACACTTGTTCCCAATACTATGTGGGATTGAGCATTACCAACACTTGTTCCCAATACTATGTGGGATTGAGCCTTAAATAGAGATATTATTTGTGAATTATAGTTAATGACTTTAGTATTTGTATGAAAAGTATTTGTGGTTCGTTTAGTTTTCATGCAATTCTAATTTATTTTCAATTGATTGTAATTGCACGATAACAATTTTTTTTATTCTCGCGAGTGATGCAATTTTTTTTGAATGTTTTGCTTAAAATTGCAATAATCGCGATTGATTGTAGATTAACTTTTAATTATGACATATTTAATTGTATAATACTAATGCAATTGGTTACTGATTCAGTTGTTTTAAGGTGCATGATTGTTAATTGTTTCCTGAATAATCACATAGTATTGAAAACAAGTGTTGGTAATGCTCAATCCCACATAGCATTGCGATTTAGTTGGTCATTTTGGCAAATCCAAAAAAAGTTGGTTAAAATCATATATTATAAGGCATTTTTGGTCACTGAGGTTATTTTCTCATAAAATAATTGCTACCAACGACTGCACAGGATTTAATCCCTTTTGTGGTTTGTTTGTCGATGCAGTCACGACGAGCCCACGGTTAATAATGAACACCATTAAATTAATTTATAAAATATTAAATTATAAAGTACTAAATATATAATTATAAATTAATTAAAATTTTAAATATAATTTAATTAAAATACAATATTTATACAACATTAGTTTTATAATTTTATTTTAATTATAATTAGATCAAACATTAATTTGAGAAATTTATAAATCCTAATTTATTTTCATAACTTTGAAGCTCTTGTTACCGCCTTTATCGTCGCCGCTGCCATCGCTACCGCAATCGATATCAATGGCGATGACGGCAGAAGTTTCAAACCTATGAAAATAAATTAGGGTTTATAAATTTTTTAATTTAATATTTTATCTAATTATAATTAAAATAAGATTATAAAAATTAATGTTTTATAAATATTATATTTTAATTAAATTACATTTAGAATTTTAATTAATTTTTAATTATACATTTAATACTTTATAATTTAATGTTTAATAAAATAATTTAATGATGTTCATCATTAATTGTGTTCATCCACACTCGACGAGCGTTGTAGAACTTTTCTTTCTTTACACTATTTTATATACTTTTTTTAGTAGAAACATCTAGTATTTTAAAAAATGAAAATATTTAAAATTAAAATAAGAGTTTACAACTATCATCGTAAGGATCATATATAGAAAAAGTTAAAAACTCAACTAAAAGACTCAAATAAAAAATATATATAAGTAATTCTGACTGCATCGACAAACAAACCACAAAAGGGGATTAAGCTATTAAAAGATTACTGAGAACAACAAATTAGAGCCGAACATTGTGAGAAACTATTCACGTATACAAAAAGAACATTCAAACAATCGATAAAGAAAACGAAAAATGTGCCACAAAGACAGAGAAGAACATACCACAAAGGTAGAATTATTCATATTAAAAAATAAAAAATAAACAAAAAGATAAGAGAATCAATGATCAACAACCAACATAAAAACTTGTCGTCCCCAATTAAACAAAATCAATGAAAAAAATTGATCTAATTTATAAAAAATGGTATAAACTCTAAATGAAAAAGGGAGGGGGAGAAAAAGAGTGAGCTTATGGGATTTAATGTTTTTTTCGGTATTTTCTTTAATAAGTATTTTTGTTTTATTATGAAAATGGTAAAGGATTAACTGTATGCTCTTGTAGTTTCTTACGTCTTTTCCATAGTATTCTTATAATTACAATCAATTTAAATGTGTTGCGTTTAGAAATGATAGTAATCAATTTAAATATATTAGTACTGAAGGTGCTCATCATTCACTATTGATAGCGATGATTATTTGTAGCTTTTATTTTGATTAAATTTTTAATATTTTTATTTTCATCATTTAACATTCAATTTTTATTCCTTGATTTTCTACCGAAAACGAATTATGATTAATATATTATAAATTTTGTAAATATATTTCAAAATTATACTTTGTTTTACATTTTCTTTTTATTGTTTATTTAATAAAATTAGTTAATAAAACTAATTAAAAAGACAAAAATTATATTTTTAATATGATCAATTAAAAAACATTAAAAATGAGCCAACAACTAATTGATATAGTGTGATGAGACACACAATGTCAGATGTTCGAACCTTAGCGTTTGTGAATAGAGTAAATTAGGTTGGGTGGGTCATCTTTATAATAGGCCTATACAAAAATCGATCTAGATTAATCGATCAATATATCATTACTTAATTAAAAAAACATTAAAATGAGAACAATAAATCATTAATCGGAAGTTTTTAATCATCGGTTCGAAATTCAATTCATAATAATAAAATATATTTCTATGTTGTATATAAAATACCACAAAAAAAATTATAATGAACATCTCAAAAAATATTAAAATTTGGTTAAAATACAACATTTATAATTTTAAATACAATTATATTGTTTAATAAACGTATGGAATTTTATATAATTTGAATTTTCCTATGTACGTTTTGCTTTCAAACAAACCAAGAGCTACAACGTACCGACCGAAACATATTTATAGGTAAATATGATGATTGGTTGGGGTTTAAACACAACTTCAACTAAATTATTTACAATAATTATACTTTTTCTTAATTCGGCCGTGCGGTCAGGCACGCAAGCCGAACCAAAATGGATCTATAAAATACAGCATGGAGCAGCTCCAAAGCAGACACGTCCGCTTTGTGCACTTTCTTTCTTTCTTTTTTTTTGTTATTAAAAATTATTATAAAATAATTAAAACTATTTAAAATATATTCTTTTATAATCATTTTAACTTAATAAAAATTTTGTTTCATAGTAAAAAAAAAGCATGTTCTTCCTCACCACTAATTCTAAAAACCAATAAATAAATATAACCTTTTTCTCGATTTCCTTATGCGAGAGGAATTTCAAATTATTTAGATTTGAAATTCGAGCCTCTTAGGTGAATTATTTGTTTAGATTTGCGTTAGGGTTGGCAACATTGAGATATAGATAGCGGTTTCTGGTAATCTCTGTTTTGAAAATCGGATCGAATCGGTCGGTTCAATCGGGAATCGTTGTTTAATCCGGTTCAATTTAAACCGGTTAAACCGTTATTAGTGAACTGATCAGAACCGTTAAACCGTTCGAACCGGACCGGCTGAAAACCGAAAAAACCCGGGGGAAAACCGGGATTTTTTTTTTAAAATTAAACCAAACAACGTCGTTTGTTAAACGAGCCAAGTCGAACTCGAGTATTGCTGAGCTCGACTCGAACTTGAAAACTTTAAAAGTAAGCTCAACTCAACTCAAACTCACAAGCTAAAAAATATAAAGTTCAACTCAAACTCGAAATATAATATTAAAACTTGAACTCAAAAAGGCTTGAACTTAAAAAAAATTAGAAGCTCGATTGAAGCCTAAAATTCGAGCTTAATTGAAGTGAAAGAATAGTTATATAATTATAGTTATATAATTTTGTTATGATTTTTTTAACCTCAAATTTATTTTTTAATTATATTTATTATTTAATATGTTTTACCTTAAATATTATGTTGTAGTTAATTTAAATCATTTTGTTTCACTTGATTTTATGGTTTTTAACTTATATATGTTATGACTTGCTTTGAATATGACTTGTGATATAAAAAATTATTTTTTATTAAATATTTTTAGTATTTTTATTTAATTTTTTAAATAATTATGACGTCGTCCGGTTCTTTCGACCGATCAGACTGGTTGAACCAGTGAACCGATAGCATGACCGGTTCGCTAAACGGTCCGGTTCTGAAAACCATGCTGGCAACGACTCGTTCCAAGTTGGGGAGATGAAGAGAAAAGTGGTGGAAGAGAAAGATCAGGTTCGTGTTATTGCAAGCTGTGCTGGAACAGTGCCAAAGCTATTGATTTGATTAGGAGCAGCGAAAGTGCAATCCACGATGACGATGGCGGAGATGACGTGGATCCACAAGAGGAAGTCATCAGCGTCAGTCTTCAAAGAGATCAAGAAGTCAATGAGGGTTGTTTGATTCTTTCTGTTTATTATCTGCTTTTAGGTTTCCGTTTGGGTTCTAAGGGAAGGAGAGGAATTCTGATTGAGAGTTTTGCATAATCACCTTTTTAGCTCGTAAAAACAATTGATTTTAGTTTTGGTGATCTTTTTTTCCTTCATTTTTTCAAGTTCTTCGTGATGATTTAGTTTGTATAAGCTTATTCTACGTTCTGTTAAGTTTTAGGTTCAGAAGAGAACTTTGGAATTTTTAATTCATAGAGGTTCTGCCAAGTTAACATGTTCATTTGAGGATTATGCGTTTCTTCCACGAGTGATGAGTAATTCAATTTTCAATTGAACATAGCTTGAATGAGACAATAAACTTATACTATAGCTAAATGGTATCTCTCATTTCGACAATGGCCTGGTTTATGAGGTATCAGTTGCATATCTATGTCAACTGTCACGGACTCCCTTCCTCTGCTGCATTAGAAACAAGGTGTAGTTTTGGTTGACTTTTAAGTTACGGAAGAGCATTGGCTTTTCCATGTTAATTTCTCTGGGAGTTTGTAGGGCTTAACATGATGAGTAGGTTGAAAGGTGTTTATGTTGTCATACGTTGGAGAAATTTTCTCGACTAAAAGCTAATTTTGGCTGAGATTGCGTTCTTTCATTATTGAATTGGACCAAACAAATAGAGAAATGAATAACTTGGATTTCATCTCGAATATGCTTTTCTTTGCTTCAGAGTCCATTTGCCTCTTAGTCTTTGTCTCATTGATATCATTTCAATTGTAATGATCCTTTCTTATGTCTTTGAAACTTTTCCATCATAACCATCATCCTATGAAGTAACATTCCGGTCCAATGATATAAGATTGGGAATTAATGCGAAGGATTTCAAATTGGATAGTTGGATTTCAAAACAAGAGCCTTTTTTTTTCTTCATCGATAAGTTGAGTCAGATTGTTATGTAAAGAAATTTTATTCTTTTCTATTTGACGGTTGTATTCACTTTTTCACTTTGAAGTGCATGTTGTTCTTTTCCATTGTATTCCACATTGCATTTGCATGTTTATTAAATGTCACGGATCAAAATACATGTCCGTATTTGACATTTATACTTTTCTTGGCAGCATGCATCTTCTAATGGCAAAATGTTGAAATCCCATCCCACTTAAATATAGTGATTCCTTTTTTTTTTATAAGAATAGGAGGCCTCATTAAAACCCCCCTTCTTGATTAATGGAGCTCATAGGCAACTCCTTAATCAGTGGAAGGAGGAAAAGAGTGCCCATGAAGTATATTAGAATCATGAAAAGTACACAGGAGTTACAACAACCTGCAAGTCCCTTAGAAGGTAAAATAAGAACATAAAAAACAAACCTAGTCAACAACTCAAAAATCAACCTATATCAGCCTTAGCTAGGGCATCTGCCTCTAGGTTAGCTGTCCTATTGACCCATCTAATAACACCTTCAAAAACATTAAGCCTATCAACAATATCTCTAACAATAGCAGCATAAATGTCTGGCATAATTCAACTTTCTTAATCCAGTCCACTACCACCTTGTTGTCACTCTCAATAATCAAACGAACCTTGATCATATCTCGAAAGGTGTAAAAAACGATAAGCCCTTTTGAATAACTTTTAATTCCATCAAGGTAAGAGGGCCCGAACCAACAAATTCCTTAAAAGAACCTAAAATCGAATCAGAAACGTCTTTTGATACTCCTCCTAACCCACTTCTTTTCCAGTCACTAGTAGTAACATCATCGACATTTAATTTAATAAAGCCCTTGGGAGGAGGACATTAAGGGAACTTGGAAACAATCGGTTTAGGGTAGTAAGAACAAGAATCCCCCAATGAAGGATCCGATATTAGTAAATCCTTAGAGATAGAAGTCTTTCTAAACTTAGCTAAAAACCATGAAGCAAGCCTAAACCTTGCTAAGAAGAAGAATTTTGCTTGATAAAACTTCCCCCCTTCGAACACAATAGAATTCATGATTTTCCAAGTGGTCCAGAGGACAACCCCTGGAATAAATCGCCAAATAGCTGAGTTAGTGTTCAAATCATCCCAGGCTAGGAGAAAGCTTTTAGCATTATTATGAAAAACATAATTAATCCTCCAATACTTCATAAGTTTATTCCATAGAGACCACACAACCGAACAAGAGAAAAATAAGTGAGAGGAAGACTCTTCCACCATCTTACAAAGAAGGCATAACACATCTTCAATACCCAAAACTCCTCTTCTAACTAATTCTGTCTTTACTGCCAGCTTGTGAAGAACGACTTGCCACATAAATGTCTCCACTCTTGGAGGCAGCTGACCCTTCCATATTATGTTATTCCATAAATAGATATCTTCCAAACCCCTAGAATTCGAAGAACAATAAGTAACACAAGATTTAACAGAATACACCCTATCCCCAGTGCCTTTCCAAACCAGCCCATAAGAAGAATCTAAGGACAGTGAGAAATTCAAAATGACTGCCACAAGATTAAACCACTATTCAAATTCCCAATCATTCAAATACCTTCTCAGCTGAACATCCCAAACCCATCCCAACGAGCTGTATTCACCAAACTCAATTAATTTGCCATTCTTGTTTAGGGAAATAGAAAACAGTCTAGGAAAAATGACCAAGAGTAGATGATCCATAGCTCAAACATCTTGCCAAAAACGAATAATTTTGCCATCTCCAACTTGAAAACTGCACATGCTTCAAAATTTAGAACCAATTAAGTCTTCTTTGAAATGATTATTCACCACAGATCTCCAAATCCAAGAAACTTTAGAGGAACCTTACTGTTAAACAATAGTAAGGATGAATCCATGTTATATTTAGTACATATAATCTTCCTCCAAACTGAATCCCTGTCATTGGCATACCTCCAAGACCATTTCCCTAAAAGAGCTCTGTTCATCATATTAAGATTCAAAACTCCTAAACCACCCTCATTCTTCGGTAGTGTCCCAATTAACCCAATGGATCATGTTTTTACCATTTCCCCCTCCCCATAAAAAACTGGACATAACTGAATTAAGAGTTTTGTTAACCGAAGCTGATACCTTAAACAAAGAGAAATTGTTGATAAAGAGTAAACAACATAGTGGAGAAGAAAATGAACTCTTTTTATTATATATTGTGAAAATACATCTTTTTATAGGAAAAGTTAGCAGTAAGTTTTCTATTAGAAGTAAACTACTTAGTAGTTATCCTTATCTATCTAACTTTCTAAGAGTTAGTGTTATATTAAAATTCTAACTTATCTATTGCATAACCTACACTCCCCCTCAAGTTAGGGAGTAAATGCTGAAAAGACCCAACTTGGATATAATCTCATCAAAGGTAATTCTTGGAAGTTCTTTGGTGAGAATATCTACTAACTGATTCTTCGTTGAAACATAATTGAGCTTCACCGTTCCACCATTCACCTTTTCAGAGATGAAATGTCTGTCAATCTCCACATGTTTCGTTCGGTCATGATGAACTGGATTCTTTGCAATACTTATTGCAGATTTACTGTCACTTTGAAGTTCAAACCATTTGTTGGCACATAACCCCAGCTCAGTTAACATTCTTTGAAGCCAAATTCCTTCACAAATTCCAAGTGTCATTGCACTAAATTCTGCTTCTGTACTATTTCAAGACACCACCGCTTGTTTTTTGCTTCTCCAAGTAACCAGATTTCCCCAAAAAAATAAACAATAACCAGTTGTAGATCTTCTATCCGTTAATTCACCTGCCCAGCTTGAATCCGAAAAAAATTCTTACTGTTATATCATCACTCTTTCTAAAAATCAATCCATGTCCTGGTGTCATTTTCAAGTATCTTAGAATTCTATTCACAGCCTCTAAATGTTCTTCTCTTGAATCATTCATATATTGACTCACTATACTGACAGAGAATGCAATATCAGGTCTAATAAGTGATAAATAAATTAGTTTACCTACTAGCCTTTGATACTGTTCTTTGTTCACAGGACTTCCCAATTCTTCTCTCCTTAGCTTCAGATTTGCTTCCATGGCTATTTCAGCCGGCTTACATCCCTTCATTCCAGTTTTTGATAGTATATCAAGGATATATTTCCTTTGGTTGATCACTATTCATTCTTTTGACCTTGCAACCTCTATGCCTAAAAAATACCGTAAAGTTCCCAAGTCTTTGGTTTTGAACTCCTTCGCCAATAGCTTTTTCAATCTTTCTATCTCCATACAATCATCACCTGTTAGAATGATATCATCCACATAGACAATCAAAATTGTCTTTTCGTTGTTTGAAGATGTTTTGACAAATAAAGTGTGATCTGATTGACATTGCTTGTAACCATCCTGAATAATCACCTTTGTAAATCTGTCAGACCATGCTCTTGGAGATTGCTTAAGTCCATACAAGGACTTTAGTAATCTACATGCTTTTCCTGTATTACTCTTTACACCCGGTAGAATTCACATATATACTTCCTCCTCCAAGTTTTCGTTTAGAAATGCGTTTTTGATGTCTAACTGATGAAGCACCCAATTATCATTAACTACTAATGACAGTAACACTCTCACAATGTTTAGTTTTGCTACTGGAGCAAACGTTTCATTATAATCAACTCCAAAAGATTGAGTGAATCCTTTCACCACTAATCTTGCCTTATATATTTCAATGCTACCATCAGTTTTGTATTTTACCGTGAATACCCATTCGCAGCCGACTGATTTTTTATCTTTCGGAAGATCAACTATAATCCAAGTATTGTTGTTTTTCAGTGCTTTTAATTCCTCTTATAATGCCTTTTTCCACTTGGGATCTTTCAATGCTTCTTCCACCGTATCTGGAACAGTAATGCTATCTACACTTGCTGTAAAGTTCTTAAAACAAGGCGTTAGCTTTCCATATGCAACAAATCTCTCAATTGGATAATTTCTGCATTTTCTTACTCATTTCCTTTGAGCAATCAACAAGTCATTATCATCAATTAAAACATTTAATTCAGTGGAAGAACTTTGATTACCTTATTCATTCTCCAAAGGATTCTCGTTCGGTTCCAGTTCATGACAGTGTTCATGCTATGTGGAGACTCGGGATTAGATTCAGGGATTGATTTAGAAATTGGTTTTTATCGTCTCCTGTAAATCTGCAACTCAGATTGAGGTATTTGAGGCGAAGTAATATGTTGATCATGCTGAGGTAAATGTGTTTCGGTGGACTGGTTTGGCTAGGATACATTTTTTGGGTTCGGTAGTGTTGTTTGGTCTGGCTGTAGCGATTTTGTAGTCTTATTCGACTGGTTTAACTGGTTTGACGGTGCTGGTTGATCAAAAAGAGCTGGCTGCAAATCAAGTGACAATTGTTGTGAGTCAATAAACTAATATTCATTATATGACTCCCCCTGAATAGCAGTTTTAAGGAAAAAATGTGTTTTTTTCAAAGAAAGTAACGTCCATAGTAATAAAGAATTTCTTTCTACGAGGATAATAACACCGAAAGCCCTTTTGAGTCGATGAATAACCCAGAAACACACACCGAAATGCTCGAGGATCTAATTTGGACCTGAAAGGAACATTGTTATGAACGAACACAGTACAACCAAAAAATCTAAGGGGTAACAATGAAGTCATCGGTTTAAAATTGGGAAAACTGAAGAAAAACATCTCTCGGACACTTAAATTGTAACGGTTTACTAGGGAGACGGTTAATCAAATAAGTGACAGTTAAAAGGGCTTCCCCCCAAAAATAGTTAGAAACATTTATGGAAAAAAGTAGAGACCGAATAACCTCAAGAAGAGTCCTATTTTTTTGCTCAGTAATCCTATTTTGTTGAGGAGAATTGACACACGAAGTAAGATGAATAATCCCGGTTTCCTGAAAGAAAGAACCCAAAACATTGGCAAAATACTCACTACCATTGTCAGAATGAAACATTTGGATTGAACACTGCAATTGGGTTTCAACCATCTTATGGAATCGTTTAAATATTTCACAAGCTTCAGATTTGGTTTTCATGAGAAAGATCCAGGTAGTACGAGTGTGATCATCAATAAATGAAATAAACCACCAAAACCCATGTAAAGATGCGACCCGAGATGCGACCCAAATATCACTATGGATCATGGTAAATGGTTTGGACGGTTTATATGGAGAAGGTAGA